TCTTTCGAGCATTTCTGCCAATCTGTACAAGAATGTTCTGACACCGAGACATTTTTGATGCCTGAGAAGTGAAAAGAAATGCCAATGTGCATGAGCAACTGGAAACATCTGCTGTATGCAGACAGTGGGCCTACTCATAAAAGCAATTGCACACTCCGTGCAGCCTTTATGATTAGTACCAGCAAGCTGGAGACTATTTCCTGCTGGGCTGTATGGAAGAGGGGAACTCCTGGACAAAATAATTCTTTCTCACTTTATCCACAAAGACAAATTGCATTTGTTGATGTGAGCCCAACCATCTATATTAGGGGGAAGGGATTCTTACCTGACTGGATAGTGGGAGTCCCAGAAAACCAAAACTCCCAAAAAGCAAAGTTGAGTTACTCCTAGGATTCCCATCCCATCTATTGCAGTGCAGGTGTGGTTCTTGCCGCATATAGGAGGGTTGCTAATACTGGAATGATGGGCTAGTGGGACAAACTACCACTGTGTGACATATAATTGCTTCCTTCGTGTCCCCTTTTCAGACAATTATTTTTCCTAGTTAACTATTGAGGAAAGCTTTGAGACACTATCTTTTGTTTGATTTCTGTATAAGAACTGTAGATCTAATGGGATTCCCACTTACACAGGGCTCATCAGTTTCTGCCCCAGGTTCTCTTCCTGAACTGTGCCAGATGTTATGAGAAATACAGTTCTGAAACAAACCTGAGCAAATCAGGCTTATTGGTTACAGATTTGCTGAACTATAGTAGGACCCAATTGCTCTTTGTCTCATTTTCCTTTGAATGGTTTCTGGCTCTCACCACTGTTTTGCGTTCTGCATGACACCCTTGACAATGTTTTACTCTCTAACCACTTTTGATAGCAGTTTTGGTTCTGATCTTATGGTCTAGTTTTCAAGACAGATGGACATTTAGCTACTTGTGGTGAACAAAAAGGCCAGGAAATTAAAGCTTTATGTTTCAGAGACCAAAGGCATCTCCAAACCAGGAGTGGGATGCTACTGGTTCTGCCCGGTTCTATAGAGCCGGTAGCTCTGAAGAGCAGCAGACACTGAACCAGTTGTGTGTTTGCTGCTATTTGGCCCACCCTCCCACCCAGGTTCTTACCTGTCCTTTATTTCCTGCTTTTTCAAAACCAGCTGCTTTGCGCGGCATAGCTGAGGTTGAAAAAGCAGGGAAAAAGAGGCTTTTCAAACACTGTGCACCTACATGCAGTGCTTTTCAGTTGTCCGGGAGGCACAGCCTAAGGTTAATTTACACGCGCGCATAGCACGCGTCAGGCGCACATGTGCACAAAGCACACAAAACATAATCACCAAACCGGTAGTAACGCCGGTTGAATCCCACCCTTGCTCCAGACCTATTCCAAATAGAGAATATTTTTATCTGTAGTTGAATTGAATTTTTTAAAATAAGTTTTGCCTGTTGCAAATTTAAAAATGAAACTTGACTTTGACTTTTATAACGCAATCTAATGTGAGCTAGTATATATTGCTAGTATATATTTTTGTCTGGTAATTTATGATTGCAGTTCAGATTGCAGATTATATACATTGAGTTACAGCCTTTTATTTCTGTGCTATATCTATGCTTATTTCTCTACTTGGCTCTAGAAACAGGCAAAATGGAGATTTGTCATAGAATCCCTTGGTATAGTTGCTTGAGCTGAAAAAAGTTAATTGGAAAGACACTGATGGATCTGAGAAGAAATCCGTAATTGAATATTTGAGCCCTCAAACTGATTTCTATCTAGCAGGATATACAAAATAAGAATAATGTTACTTAGTTTATGTAGGAAGATATTTACTATTATTTTAGAAAGGTTTATTGCAGATATAACCAACAAATGGATAAACTATCTTATACTGCAGGTGACATGCTGCGTCTACGGACTGTCTTAGAAGCAATTCAGAAGAACATCCACTCCTCTTCCTTGATCTTCAAACTGGCTCAGGATGCTTTTAAGATTGCCACACCTGCTGACAGTAACGCTGATACAACACTACTTAATGTGGCATTGGAGTTGGGGCTACAAGTAAGGACATTAATAATCACCAGGAAAAAATGAATAATTTCCAAATCTTTACAATAAGTTGGAAGCCTGCCTTGAGGGTTAATGAAATGTCCATGTTAGCCAATGAAAAAAATCTGCTGAGTTGTGATCTTAAGTGATAATCCTGCTCTCTTACAGGATTTTGGGCATACTGGCCATTTAAATCGGGGATCCCCAACCCCTGGGCCACAGCCCAGTAGCGGGCTACAGTCCATTCAGAACCGGGCTGCACAAGCAGCAGGCAATCATGTGCAAAGTTCCATTTGTGTGAGCAGTGTGCATGCACACCCGCTGCTTGTGCAAATGGAGCTGCATGTGGCACCTGCCACTCACACAGAACCATTCCCTCCCACCACCACCACCTCTGCCACTGGTCTACAAAGCCGGCAACATATGGGGACCCCTGATTTGAATAATTAAATAACCGCAGTTACATTTCTCAGCTAAAAGATTCAGAATGGGACATAATGCTTCCCACATGGCCTCCAATCTAGGCAGTTTATGAAGTTAGAAGCCAGACCTGTTAATCTTCAAAACGGGTTGAAACAACTTATGTTATTGTGATAGGCTGATCTAGGGAAATGCAACCATTTTTTTGGATATCACTGGTGGGTGAAAAAAAATATTTTCTACTCATTTCTACCATTCCAGGTAATGCGCATGACCTTATCAACATTGAACTGGCGACGGAGGGAGATGGTGCGATGGCTGGTGACCTGTGCTACAGAAGTTGGTAGGTATTTTCACAAATCCATACTTAAAATGAAAGCTGCAGCCTGGAGCAAGCCTCACTCAGCCTTTCCCAACATTGGTTTGAGATTCTGGGATCTCAATTCCCCAACCATCAGGACGGCACACCCGTGTAGTATATTCTCCTCACCCAAAAGATATTAAGACGCTATTGGGCACCAGAGCCAAATCTGGATGACAACTAATATCCAAACTCATGACAAAGATGAGTGATTTCTAACTCATAGTCTATTCCTCCCAGTGTTGACTCCCTAGGTAGCAAACATTGAAGGATTTAATTATAAGGAAAACACACGAAATGAAGATAGGATATATGACATTTTCCAAATGAATTCAGTAAGTAGCTCAAATTATAGCAATCTTTGTAAATCTTTTTACAATAGAGCTCAAAACTTCATTGCAAAAAAAAAGGGAGGCCAACTCCTACAGGTTAGTGCTGAACTAGACTGATGTGCTACTTTCAAGACAATGAGAGACAAAAATATAATTGACTGCAGTATTGGGTGTCCTGAGAGAACTATGGGCTTGGTGCTACAGGTCCAGTCTGTTGCAAAATAAAATACAATTATTGCTCAGTTTGCTTACTACCATTGCATGCACCTTGCTGGTTCTTCCCTAACTGGCTGAGCAGTTCGTGATTCTGTCTTGCAGGTGTCCGGGCCCTGGTTAGCATCTTGCAGAGTTGGTATTCACTCTTTACCCCTACTGAAGCAACTAGCATAGTAGCAGCAACAGTGATGTCCCACAGTACCATTTTGCGCCTCAGCCTGGACTATCCACAGCGCGAAGAACTGGCTAGTTGTGCTCGCACGCTGGCCCTGCAATGTGCCATGAAGGATCCGCAAAACTGTGCACTCTCGGCTCTGACCCTCTGCGAGAAGGACCACATTGCTTTTGAGACTGCTTACCAAATTGTTATAGATGCTGCGTCCACCGGCATGACTTACTCCCAGCTCTTCACCATTGCACGGTATATGGAGCACTGCGGGTACCCATTACGGGCCTTCAAGCTGGCTTCGCTTGCCATGACACACCTCAACCTTGCCTATAACCAGGACACACACCCTGCCATCAACGATGTGCTTTGGGCATGTGCACTCAGCCATTCCCTTGGTAAGAATGAGCTGGCCGCTATTATTCCATTGGTAGTAAAGAGTGTTCACTGTGCCACAGTGCTATCTGACATTCTGCGCCGCTGCACCATGACGGCGCCAGGCCTTGCTGGCATCCCTGGCCGCAGGAACTCTGGGAAACTGATGTCAACGGACAAAGCACCTTTGCGCCAACTGCTGGATGCTACAATAAGCGCTTACATCAATACCACACACTCCCGTCTTACCCACATCAGCCCGCGGCATTATGGGGAGTTTATTGAGTTTCTGAGCAAAGCTCAGGAGACTTTCCTGCTTGCTCAGGATGGCCACCTTCAGTTTGCGCAGTTCATAGACAACCTTAAGCAGATCTATAAGGGCAAGAAGAAGCTTATGTTGCTAGTGCGAGAACGATTTGGTTGAACTTTTGCATTGGGGGGGCGGGAAGGGAAGAAGAAACTCTGATCGTTGTTGGTGGAATCATGCTTATCAGGCAAGACTAATCGTAATTTTCATCGTAGAAAATCTCCCAATTCTTTTGCGGAACATTAAACCAAAAGCAGCATGTTAGGAAGAGTTTGCTTCCCAATGACCACTTACTTGCAAACACTTCAGCAATACCAAAAGGCTAACTAGGAAACTGAATACCTCTTTCCCAAACAGCATGGTGGATGGAGGCAGAAAAGCCAATATGGAAGCACATTACTCAGCCTCTTGCGCGGCCATCTGTGTTCTCAGCTGGCGGGTTTCGAGATGTGCATCCTGCCATAACCGGCGTCACCATTGAGTTAGTGCAGCCTTCTCCAACCTGGTACCCTCCAGATTTGCCAGACTTCAAACTATTTGCTTGGCTGGGGAATAGGATGAGTTGACTCCAGAGTAACTAGGGTGAGGGGTGGGTGGGTGGGGAAATAGCTGGGGCTGGTTGGTTTAGTATGTGTGCAAGTGCGTGCGTATGAAAATCCTTAATTAAAAAAAAAAAGTTAACGGTTCTCAGGGATTGCTTTACTAAAAGTAACAGAAGCATTTATGATACTGTAAATACAATAGTATATGTGTCGAATATTAAATTGTAAAGTTCTAATTATTTATAATTATTGTTTTTTTGTTTGTTTTTGTTTGTTTGGGGATACTTGAAATGTGTTGTGGGCTGGGCTAAGCATTTCCAAACCCGAGAAATGTGAACGTTTCTCAGGTTTTTACCCCAGCATTGTTGGCAAAAAAAAAATAACAAAAGACAAGTGGGTGGGATTTGACTAATGGAAAAATAAACAAAAGCTTGAGCAGACCTACCACAACACGCAACCTTGGAAGAGAGGAGACCAAGGTGGAAACCGCAAAGCCAGATACACCTCAGCATTTCAAGGCCATCAGGGTGTGGATTCGGCCCACTGGCTAAAAGCCACAGCACATTACTTGACTGCTACTTTGTACCATGGCTCCGTATATGGGACACAACATGACCCCAGGAAGCTGGAACAAGACTGTTAGCCGGTTCAGCCCATAGTGCAAAATGCTCTATTTTTGGCCTTTCTCCAAATGCAAACGAATTGATTTGTGCAAGAGATGTATTACTCTATGAATTTAGAAAGGGTCTTCTGTTTTTATTTCATTTTGGTCACCTTGAAGAGCAGGAGCAATTAGCCTGCATGTGAGTCTTTATTTTCAATTTCATTTCAAAACTACTGTCTTTGCTGGCCTCTGCTTAGGTTGGTGCCTTCTTGAGGACAGCTTTCCGCCATAGTTTCTGCTACTTGATCTCCTACTACTGCTTTGCCTCCATCTGAATGTTTAAATGGAGCGTAGCAGGAGCAGAATAGTTTTTTTCCCCTTTTCTAAATGTCTTTGTGTTCCCCTGTTCCAGTGCATCTTAGTTCTAAAAGGGGCAGGGAGGGAATGGATGGGGGCAGGGGTTAAGATGAAGCGTAGTTTAGGAAATGTGGATTAAAATTACGTACTGTCTGACTCCGGTTTTGTTTTGTTTTCGTTTGTTGTTTTTTTTTAAAAAAAAAATCCTGAGAAACTGGTTGGAAGACCAGATAAGCCCTACTCACCCAGTATTTGTTGCCATAAAAGTATCATTCTTCTGTCTCTTTATTTTGTATGTACAACTTCTTGATCTGATGTTTAATAAAAAAAAAAAAAAAGGAAGGAAGACTTCGTTGTATCACTCCAGCCCTTTTGGTATCAGTCCATTAATGCTGCCAGTCAGAAATCCTTCAAAAGGAGAGCCATTCAGAGAAAATCTGTGCTGCTACTGAGATGGGACTAGGGAGAGGTTACAGTTCCATATTCTGTATGGAAATAGTTTTTCCTTTTCTGGGATAAACAAGATAATTTGCATATAAGCTAAAAGGGGACAGATTATCCCTTTCTCAGACACAGGATACTTAGCCTGCAGAAGCAGGCCATTCAGGAATATGCATGAGGCCTATCTCCTCCTCCCCACATCTTGTGGTACTTCTGAATATTAAAAGCAACTCAAATAATAATAAAAAAAAAACATTGCTGCAAGAAACAGATGGGTAGGAAGCAAGACAAGACAGCCAAATCCTGTACGGAAGGACAGCTGAAGTTCAATTACAATAAAAGGTGTTCATTGATTGTCGGAGGCACTCGGATTAGTTTTGTAATCAATAGGAGCAATTTGGGGATAAACAGTACACAGTTGGGACAATATATGTTTCATAATGAATCCATTTTCTATGGTAGAGGCTGAGAAGAAGATAACGTGTGTGAAAAACCTGCAACTCCCCGGTTCCTTTTGCCAGTTCCTGCTGCAGCCTTTGTAGCTAATTACACCGAGATCCTTTCCAGGATGTTCCCTCTCAATGACAGATACATTTGCTTAGCAGATGACCCATTTCTTTTCTTTTTGCTTATGGATTGTTTCCTCCGAGTCTCTTAAGAACATTTGTTCAGATTGCAAGAATGCATGTGCACAGCATCCACAAAAGCCCCTACGTGTTCTGGGTTGATGTCAGGATAGAGACCGTGGCCCAAGTTGGCAATGTAACGCTGGGAGCCAAAGCCTTCCAACATCTTTTTTACCAGCTCCCCGATCTTCTCCTGTGGAAAATGAAAAGTGATTAAGCAGACCAGAAAGCAATAGCACTTAGACTTATATAGCACCCCATAGTGCTTTACAGCCCTCTTTAAAGGGTTTACAGAGTCAGTAAATTGCCTCCAACAATCTAGGTCCTCATTTTACCGACCTCAGAAGGATGGAAGGCTGAGTCAACCTCAAGCTTCTTCAGGATCTAACTCCAGACTATGGGCAGTCAGCTTGCAATATTGCATTCTAAGCATTGCGCCACCTCAGCTCTTTTACATCACATTTTCAATCTTCAAAACTATTGGGGAACTGGGTGGACATAGCCTAGCACAATTCCTTTGCTCGTTTGCCTAGCTTACTGTCACATTAGATCAGGGGACTTCAAACTTGGCAAGTTTAAAACTTGTGGACTTCAACTCCCAGAATTCCTCCTCCGGTCATGTTAGCTGAGGAATTCTGGGAGTTGAAGTCCACAAGTCTTAAAGTTGCCAAGTTTGAAGACCCATGCATTAGATAAACAAATGGTTAGAGTTGACTGTAGTTTATGACCAATCCATGTTGGAAGCAATCTGAATTAGAGATAGTCACATTTTGCTCACACTATGCAAAATTCTGAATGGGTTACATAAGTGGGGGTGGAAAAACCAGTGCCTTAAAGCCAACCTTGGTTTGTTTCCATAACAAAGGCATGGTTTGAAGTCATTGATTGGTCACTTGGTCCACAGCACAGAAAAACAGTTGTTGGCAACAGCTCATTTGACCTTCGTTAACCTATAAGCAAGATTTCATTTACAATAGGAAGGTACTGATCCGTGGCTAGTTTAGTTGGGTTAGGATTTGAAAATTGTCTGTACTCCATATCTGAACTTCTCTATCATGGTGTAGGGTCTCCCGCTTGGGTGGGGGGTTGAACTACCCTGTTTCTCCAACAATACGGCCTCCTCCAATAGGAAGTCCCAGCATGTTTTATAGGCATGAAATGAAATTAAGCCCCTCCCCCCAAATTAAGGCCTATATTAAAACATGCAAAATGGTGGGGAATGGTGGGGGGGGCTTGTCGTTAGGAAGTACTTTTGTTGCACACCCGGATATGGTGCTGCTTGCGTTGACCCCGATACGAAGTGCCCCACCAACGCCGAGGTCAACATCCAAGCTGTCGCCGCCCGCCCCGAAGATGCAAGGGGGGGGGGAATTAAGTCACCCCTGAAAAGACGGCCTAGCCATTTTTTCGGGGCTCAAAAAAAAATAAGACCCAGCCTTATTATATGAGAAACACGGTAGATGACCTACAAGGTCCCTTCCAACTCTGATTATCTGTTATCTGTTATCAATGAAAGGCCTTGGTTTCTTGTTTCTTTTTACAAAAAAAAAGAGAGACAAGAACATGAGTTTTCAAACTTTTTCAAGCCGGGGAACTGATTTTGAAAATAAAAAAGACCCAGAACCCCTTAATCAAGAGGGGTAGGGCTTCTGAATGTCAAGCTAGAAAGTCCTTGCCAACTTTAAGCCTAGAGGATTTCAAAGCTGGCTGGGGAATTCTGGGAATTGAAATCCTCCAGGTTTAAAGCTGCCAAGGTTGGAGACCCCTGCTCTGTGGGTGGCTTTTTCTTTGTCACTAAGAGCTTTTTCCTTCCTACTCTCCACAAGGATCTAAGGTAAAATATTCTCCCCCCCCCCCTTAATATCTTGTAGAGATTTTTCCCCCTTTGTCCAGCAAAACCCATTCAAGTCCCATAGAACCCAGGGAGAAAACAAATGAATTGATACAAGAAGCCAGTGGCTGCAGGAATGAGCGTAACCTGATCGTTACAACTTAATGCACGTTTCCTTACCTTGGATGCATATAGAGCACATGGATCTAAATTCCCTTGTAAGGTAACGGTTCTTCCAGTCCGCTGGCTGAATCGGGGGAGGGGGGGATTAAAATGTAAGAAAGACACTTAACCAAGATAAAAGGGCTTGCTGGACATCATTGCCTCAACATACAATGATAACTCCTAAATAAAAGACAAGCTATCAGTCAACCCCATCCATCCTTCTCTGACTAAATTCCAGCTAAAATGCTGAAGCAGAGGAAAGAAGCTACCCTCAAAATCAGAGCTTAGGTAGCTGAGTGGAAATAGAAAATTACTACTTTTCCCATATGGTACCTTATTTTTCTTATTTCTAATTAAAAAAAATAAGGTACAAATTTATTTCGGATTTTGTAAAAGAAGAGCAAGAGAACATACTGTCCATTCTGTTACACTGCATCAGCGTAACCTGTCCTAAAACAGTCATTTCTACACAAAGGTAATATTTCATGCACAACCTATGATTGGTATCTTTACTTAGTCTTTGCTTCAGCTACCATCCCTTTATTTTCCAAGTATCATATGAGAGAGGGATTTGACTTTTATGACAAACTATTATTGCAGAACTGAGGAAGAATCCCATTTAGAAGAGATGACACTCATGCGGAGTTCCCAAGGGAATACAACCCATTTCTCACCGAGCCTCTTGAGGACATGTGGTCCAGTCCAGGCTAACCACTTCGTATCCAGACTGTGCCAAATCCTCCAATGCATAGTGGGCATTCTTAGCAAAGATGATCTAGTGGATGGAGAGGGGAGCAGAAGATAGAAAACAACGAGGACAGGGTTATAAGCGCTTGGTCACATAGGAACTCGAATTTTGCATGAAAAAAAAGTTATGTCATGGCTTTAAAATTATGCATAGCAACATGTTTATTTGAAGATTTTCCTTTTCCCTTTATTTGAAGATTATCCTTTTAGGCATTAGAGAGGATGAAAAAGACACTTCTATAAAAAGCAGTGGAAATGCAAGCCTATTGTCCACCACCTCTGATTATGGAAAGTCTACACTCTAAAATTAAGTTTTGAAATGCCAGCTTTACGCCCAGTTATGATTTGAGGGGAGGGCGAACTGTTCTACTTCAACATCCAAATTCTTTCATTTAGAAATGTATACTTCTATACTAAAAATATGAAGTTCTTCATATTTTCATACTGTTTTGATTCGTCAGGAAAAAGTTCTGATAAAGGAGACTTGAAGAAATAAAAAAAAGAGAATAAAGTTTATTCTCTTTCATTGGCTACTAAATCAGGGTAGCTATGAATTTTCTGGCAATAGTGGAGGCTACAATTTTTTTGTATTAGTTGCTGGAGTCCATAACTAACTGTATTCCTAGCTTACTTGCAAGCGCTCCATAGCTATCTGAACATTGGATTGTGTAGGTCTTTAGTCTGATCCAGGTCTTTTTACTGGCACCTATATTTTCCTCTCTTCTACCTTTAAGTTTTCAAGAAAATGTCTGTTAATGGTCTTTCAATTGTTGAGAAATACATATGATAGGCGAAACGAGCTTCAGGATTCTACCAAAATGTGATATTTGCCTTTAAAATAAACAAAATGTTGCCATTCTGGATAGAATCGCTGTAAATTCTGGGTAACAATTCAGAAAAAAAGGCAGAAGGAAACAGTCCCATCTCTTACCATTGGCACTGCAGGGAGAGCATTTTCTTGTAGCTTATTCTTCACACCTTTGGCAATGGACCGAATGAATGGGAGGGCAAACTCTGCAAACTGGTCTGGCCCCAGATGTCCTGCGTGGGACTCAAAAACCTGCAGAGCCTGGCAAAAAGGACAAGCAGAGAATCAGAATATACTTCCTGGTTAACGGCTATTCTCCCTCTCTTCTTCCACTTATCTGGGAGGCCCACCCCACTGTTCAAGGCATTCAGTCCAATCTGTCCTGGCATAGAACGTAGGGTTCTTCCACTGGAACAAATCTAAGTTTCAATTGTCTTTGGGTGCACCAAAATGTATTTAGGAGAAAATTACACCAGAAAACCCTCAGGTAGTATTGTCCATTGTTCTTGTCTTTGTTGAAGGTTTTGTTCCAGGATTAGATTGTCACATGATAGCTACATAGCTTTTATACCTTTTACGGCTACAGAGAATAGCTTTTAATCCTATTCTCAAGTGAAAGAATATTGACCACCAGGTTGCAGTTCCTACATATTTGGTATAATACAAGATTGAGTATTATATAGTCAGTTATATAGTATTATATGTGAGTATTATATGCTAGGCTTCTTGAATAAACCTAGCATGGTAGCCAGTTATATGAATAGATCCCAGTTTCATCATAATAGTTGTCAACTCATAAAACATTTTGTATACACGTTTTATAGTTGACAACAGAAAGAAGGGGGGGGGGAGTTTCAAAGAGCAGACAGCAGTGTGGAATAGAAAGTACATTCCATTCATATTTTTTTCAAAGACTGATTAGATGGCTGAAGCTTCTGACACGAAAAAATCTAATTGGAGAGCATGATTGATGACTCTTGGCTATGGACGTTTTTCGTTGGATGATACACCCAGAGAGGTGGGGGGAAAAGCAGGATCAAGGGTGACAGTGAATTACGTATCTCAGAGTTGGCTATGCCCAGGTTAGTGCCAGACATAGAATGTTAGCTTCAAATAAATCCTCTTTAGTTTTGGGAGTGTGGCTCGAGGCTCATGATTTAATTGGAGTAACTGCTGGAAACCTGACAATAGTAACTGCATAGTTGGATAGTTGGAAGAAGGGCAGAACTCATCAGAAAACTCTTACTGTCTTGGCTATATATATGAACTAGCTGCAAGATATCATCTCTTGAAACATTTTGGGAAGAAGAATAATCTGGGAGGAAAAAAAGAGTTTTCTAGAGCTCATAAAGCCAGATCAAAAATTTCAAAAGTTGAAAGTGACTGGTATTTTATATACCATTTGCTGTGGTGCAGAGTTTTCAGGGGTGGGATGCTACTGGTTCTGCCCGGTTCTAAAGAACTGGTAGCTCTGAAGAGCAGCAGACACCAAATCGGTTCTCTGTTTGCTGCTGTTTAGCCCACCCGCCCAGGCTCTTATCTGTCCTTTGTTTCCTGCTTTTTCAACCTCAGCTGCTTTGCGCGGCACAGCTGAGGTTGAAAAAGCAGGAGAAAAGTGGCCTTTAAAACGTTGCCCACCCGTGCGCAGCGCTTTTCAGCTCTCCGGGTGGCACAGTTTAAGGTTGGTTTACACGCGTACGCAGGGAATCGGTAGTAACACCGGTTGAATCCCATCCCTGAGAGTTGTGCTCTGTCCAACATCATCAAATTCAGCTTCGATTTGTTCTTGTGAACTCCAGAAATCTATTCTTAAAAATAATAGAGGAAATACAATCAAATATTTTTGAAAATTTATGTTCTAAGAACAATGGCCTAAATAATGCTTTATCGATTCAATTACCCTTCCTTGAAAGGATCCTTTTCGGCAGAAAGATAAAAGGAATAGTATATCTTCAGAAACCAGGAACCAGTCTATTTAAGTAAATGTGATGCCTACAAACTTATGGACAGAGGCTCTTCGGAGTCCACTCACCTGAGCACCTGCAGCCACCTGTCTCACCAGATATTCCACAATAACATCAGTCAATAAAGTGAGCAGCCGATAGCTGGCCTCAGGATGCCGGTAGAGCCAGGCCTTGGCTTTGGCCATTGTGTTGGAGCCACCACCTTCAATCATATAGGACATCAAAGTCCACTAGGGATTAGAGTGAGCAAAAAGGAAAAGTACATATGAATAAAAAAGTCAACTTCCAAAGCTAGGCCAGCTTCTGCAATCACATGAACCTTGCAGAAACAGTGAAGCAGTTCTATTACATACAGATTATATGGTTTGCATTGTACTGTACTCTCCTCTGAAACTATATCAACACTTTGTTTATTCTGGAGAGTTACACATCCTGTCCCAAAAAAGGAGCTTGTGAAACAATTAGTTTTCATATCTAACCACGTCTCCTTTGGAATGAAATGCAATAGATAAAAAAAACCATCTGGCTCAAATTAAGTGTCACAAAATAAAACTGGTAGATCTTTGTGGAGTAGATGGTTGGCTAGGCAATTGATCAATGTATTAAGTTAATGGTGGAGGAGCAAGAATATAAAAGGTCTGGCTGAAAGTAATTCAGAACCAAGACACTTTCTCCTTCCTAAATGACTTGTCAAATGCTGCTGCCAAAGACTCAGAACCTTCCTGGTGTCCAATAACAACACAGAAATGTAGCACGTTCCTATACTACCCAATAGAAAAGTATTAAGATGCAAACAGGGATTTCTTGAAAGGTTTGTGTTTCCAAATAACTGAACTCACTGGGGCACCAGAGAAGCCGATCAGAGGCACCTTCCCTTCCAATCTGTGCCGTGTCAGTGTGATAGCCTGGAAGACATAGGCCAGTTCTGTTGCCACATCGACCTTCTGCCGAAGCTTCAGCAGGTCCTCTACTTCCTTTAGTGGTTCTGGAAATGTGGGCCCTTTTCCTGGCACCATCACCACCTCCATGCCCAGTGCCTGAAGGGGACAAGTCATGTGGGATAGAACTCATTCCTGTTTTAAAGGTTTGCAAGCACCTCTTCTCCCATGTAAAATCAATTAGCAGCATCTCCTCCCCCTCAGCCGTTTCTCATACCTGAGGCACCACCAAGATGTCAGAGAAGATGATGGCAGCATCAAAAGGAAAGCGTCGTAGAGGCTGAAACCAAAGAGAGTGGAGAAAACACATAAACTTGATTTTTAACTAGGCTTGATTTGTACATGCATGTTATATGACATAGGTGAAATCTAGCATTCATGACGGTAATGGAAATATAAAGCAATTTGATATGACAAATTCAGAGAAAAAGTAAAATGGGGCTAGCATTTTTTATGATGCCATTCTGTGTGGAGTGTTTTTCTATATAAAAGAAAATTAAGAAAACGTAATTGCAGATCTCACCAGAGGCAGCTTCAAGTGCTTCTTGGATAATTAACAAACCCAGCATTGCTGTATCAATGGCACAATCTTGCCTACCATACAGACATATATTGTGCACTAAAGAGTTTCTCTATAGACCAGGGGTCCCCAACCACTGGGCCCCGGACCAGTACCGGTCCATGGAACATTTTCTACCGGGCTGCCGGTTTGCTGGGCGCCGCCATCTTGTTTTGATGAGAAAGTGCTTCCGGTGAGCTTTTCCGGTTGGAAAGCAGCATTTGGGTCCTGAAGGAATCCTCGCGCCTTAGTTTCATCGAAGGGGGGGGCGGCTTCGAACAAAACTAAGGCGCGAGGATTCTTTCAGCACCCAAGGCAAGGCGAGCTGAGCGACCGTCCCGAAGCCCATCGACAAAGGTACAAAGGAGGAGTTGAAGGTGGCGGGGAGAAGCGGGGGATGGCTGGCTGGCCGGTCGCTCGGCTCGCCTTGCCATGCATGCTGATGCTGGTACCGGGCCGCGGATCATTTGTGATGCCGGTACTGGGCCGTGGCACAAAAAAGGTTGGGGGCCACTTCTATAGACCATTCTACTGCTTTTCAGAATCCACATCACCTCTGATAGTACTATATTGTTAATATTATTTATGTTCTACTAATGAGGCACCACCCTTTTATAAATATATGCTGAAATTTACAGGGAATGCAAGAATGCCTATCTTAGCAGGAGGGAAATTATTGTACATTTGGGGCAGAATATTGTTATATAAAATATGATAATTAACGAGGGTCTTTTCAAGAGCTACAATATGATTGTACAAGAACCGTGGTGGCACAGTGGTTAGAATGCAGTATTGCAGACTAACTCTGCATTTCGCATTGCCAGCAGTTCAATCCTGACAGGGCTGAAGGTTGACTCAGCCTTCCTTCCTTCTGAGGTGGCTAAAATGAGGGCCCAGCTTGTTGGGGGCAATATGCTGACTCTGTAAACCACTTGGAGAGGGTTGTGAAGCACTGTGAAGTGGTGTATAAGTCTAAGTGCTATTGCTTTTGGAGGGTGGCAATAATTGTGTGTAGGCATTCCAGTCATACTACTAGAAATGTTGGTAATTCTAGGACAATGTGCCGGATGCTTGCTGACCTTTTGTGTCTAAAGAAGGAAGTAATTTGGTTCAAGAAATTTGCCCTTGACTGACTAGCTGAGCCCTATACTGTGTGCATGAACAGTTACGTGTAATGCTTTAGTTACTATTGGAGAATATTCTTCACTTTGCTTAATAAAGATTAACTGTTGTTGTTGTTGTAGTTAGTCACGAGGTTGTATCCAACCCATCAGGACCCCATGGACAATGTTCCTCCAGGCCTTCCTGTCCTCCACTGTCTGGTTAAATATGTCTGGGCACCATCAAATCTTTCATGCCCTCTCTTATGTTTCACAATTACCCTGTTCCCCTCCTCAAAGGAACAGCCCTTAATGACAAAGAGGAGGAGGAAGTGACCAATAAAAATAGAGGGAGGGAATGATTAGCAACAGCAACTACTTAATGGGAAAAAAATTGAAAATGCATGTGATTGGAAAAGTAAGTAGCTCAGATGAAGAGGCAACTAATGTGGGATAGTGTGTGAAGTTGCCAATGAAAGTATTAAAAGTAGTGATTTAAAAATATTATAAAGGGGTGAATATTATAAAGTTAATTTTTAAGAAACATATTTTTTTCTATTTTTAAATTAAAATTATATTCAGGTTAAAGACAAAACTTTCAATGGGCTAAAATAGAATAAGATTAATGTATGGAAAAAAAAGAAAAGAGGGTTTTCTTCAAAATGAAAAACAGAACCAAATAATGTTTAAAATGATGCTGTCAGTCTGACAATGAACACAGAAAAAATATTGACAAGTTTATAACAATGTGACAGAAAGCAGAGGAAGCATTATATAAATAGAAGATTAAAAAGCGGAAAATGAAATCCCAAAGCAGTCAGCAATGTATATAATTTATTTTGTAGGCAAATGAAACTTTAGGTCATTAATGTTTTTTTTAAGGCAAAACTACACTGGGTAAATAAATGAAAATAAACCTAATGAAAATATCCCAAATTAAATTCTAATAGAGAACGTAAGAAATACAGACAGTATATCAGTACAAGGATGAATAAATAACAGAAGCAAAGAAAAATGAAAAACACCCAGGATACACAGATATTAAACAAGTGGGGCAGAGATAACTTCAGAAAAGAACAAAATGAAAATACACTTAAGAGGTAATTCATGTCCTGAACAGAACTTCAGTCCTGAACATCAGTCCTACTTAAGAACAACATAAAGCTCTCTCCATACTTGCAGTGTGAGTTCACAGCATGTCTCTGGTGAGCGACAGGTTGCAAAGAAATCCTGAGCTGCTCGAGTCTCACGGAATTCTACAAAATAATTAGAAAGTGGATGGAATGTGGATCGAAGGGTCATTAAATGAACTGTTGTAAGTTGAGGAATACCTGTATTCACTCCCAGGATTCTCCCTAGAATCTGATCTTTAGAATTTTTTTCCATTGCTCTCTTCTCATTTGACAGGAATTTCCTCTTACCTCATAATTCATGGCTTATATATTGTATTAAAATAAAGTGTCCTTACCCAACCCAAGAGAGTCAGGCTGACATAGTGGTTAAGGCATCAGGCTAGAAACTAGGAGACTGAATTCTAGTCCTGCCTTAGTCATAAAATCAGCTGGGTAATCTTGGGCCAGTCACTCTCTTTCAGTCGTAGGGAGAAAAAAAAACAATGACAAATCACTTCTGAAAATTCTGGCCAAGAAAACTGCAGAGACAGTTAGTCAACCAGAATCAATATTGACTTGAAGGCACAAAAACCAATACCACCCCACCCCAAATACTACCAATCACTTCAAAGGTATAGAAAAAGCTATAATATCTAGCCTCCCAAATTCAGATAACTAGCAGGATCCCTTTTCTCTTTGCTGCCATCTAATGGCTATCTGGACATTTACAACTCAGATATGACACACTGGCTAGACTATATTGGGACTATAATTCCATTCAACTCAACCGATATGGCCAATGAGGAAGAATAACTGGCACTGCAACTATTTGAAAGCGATAAACTGTGCACCTCTTGTATAATTCAAGTCACCCTTTCTGCTTTAATTACCTGGCAGGTATCTTCCTGCCTGTCTCATGCACCAAACAGGAGTGTATTTTGTCTCTTCTCCGTGTGCTGCTCGCAAGAAAGTGTCATTTTTCAATTCAGGAAACCCTGTAGGACTAATCAGAGGAAAACAAAAAGCAATATGAACATAGAAGATGGAGACATCCGGATCACTATAGCTGGTGGTATTAAGCAATTACTTCTCAATATAAATTCACCAGCCTTCCTTAGTCTAGAAATGATAAGAGTGGAAATCCTGCATCTGTACAGGGGAAATCAAATAATATCTTTTTAATTCCTCTTTGGGATTATGGGTGCAGTCAAAAGTTAATGATGTCTGCCATAAATATTGTGGCAGCTGATTAAAAGAGGAAAACAACATCAAACATGGCTCTGGGAATTCTTTCCAAGCTCTTTACCAATGGGAGGCATCCATAATGAAGTAACACGCTGCGTCTGTGCATGAGCATTTTTGTTCCTGTCCCATGGGGTCTGTGCACTGGGAGGAGAGTGGGCTCCATATGTTCCACTCTGGAACATATTTGAGTTGTTATGATTTGATCCCATTTTCTTCACTTTCCAGAGAGTTATCCTGCTGACAGGCAGGCAGGCAGGCAGGCAGGCAGAGTTCCAACCTCTTCACGTTTCTTTCCAATATTCCAAAGGGTTGGAATAAATAGGCAAGGAAATCACAGCTTCTGGAAATTCTTCCCCAACCCCTTTAGCCCTATAAGCAGCCTTAGGAAGCATCTGGGTTTCCTCCCATACAATAATGGGCTGCATCTGGGTACACTTTCTCCCCAGGCACTAAGCAGGTTGAATGCACACACAGATACTCACATACATAGAGAGAAAGAGATAATTGAGTGAGCACACATGTAGACTGTGTATGTTTGTGTGCTCTCCCCTTATGTTGTACATATGTGTATTATTTATCCATATGTGGGAAGCACAAGACAGATGGCATATACTCTGTTCTTGGTCATTCGAATCATAATGAATGCAGAGTTAAAATGGATGTACCACAGGCTCACATTATAACGTTTTCTGTGTTTTCTTCTCGGCAGTTCCCCAGCTTCTGATCCATTTTCAGACTTGCTATCTCTACGGTCAGCTTCTCCCCAAATATCTATCTATCTATTAATAAAATTATTATGATTTTTAACTGGGTGAAATGGTGCATCATAGGGCAATGGTTTTTGCACCAGGGCACCTTTAATGGGCTAATTGACAGAATATGTCTAAAATCCAAGATCCATGACCCAACGGAATGAAATTTGGGAAAGATGTGGCTGCTTCAGTGCTATTGGCTGCTGCTCCAGTCACATGATCTTCGTTTTCAAATTTCTTTGACAGTTTCTCAGTCATTCTTGTTAGGAATATGAGTCACCTTACAGCTATTTGGGTTAGAAATATATAAACCAGGATAAACATTTTAAAACTGTATCTTTAAGAAAATGCAAAACTGTAATTAGGTGTGGTTTCTCAAACGGACATAAGATGGAGCCAGAAACCTGGGTTGTTTAGTCTGAGTCTCAGAAGACAGTGTGAGTGTATCTCTGTTTCCTTCTGTTGGAAAGTATTGCCGTTGCTACATTTCTTCTAATTGACTGATATTACTGGATTTAATGTAAGTCTGTTACTGAACTGTTTTTTGACACTGGACTTTTGATATTTGGATTATCCCTGGATTGAAAACTGACTGATTTAACTTGTGAATGACTTTGGATTGCTTATTTTGGACTTTGCTTAAACCTTTCTGGAAGTAAAAACCTACATTTACTGTACAGTCTATCTGTGTGCTCTGTGTGTATTATTCCAACACTACTCTCTATCCCTGTATGCGCTCATTCTCCTAACGGGAAATTACCTCAACAATTCTCACAATACTTTGCTCTCTCCCACCCAGCAACAGCCACTTATCTGTCTTCTAGGAAGGGAAGGGATTGGAAGGGAAAGGAAGAGAAAGAAATACCTGTGCACCTATTTGTTCCATCCCCTCTGCGTGTTCCGCCCACCTTTCCCAACCCCACACATGCTTTCCCCAACCATTATGCAACCCATGCTGCCGCCCTGTGCGCCTTCCTTGACCCACAGGGTCCCCTCTTGAGTATCCCAATGCACCTTTCCTGACATACATTGTCTCCCATTGTGTCATCCCTGATCCACATGGCACCTCTTGTGCACAGCACTTCTGGGCTCCCGCTACCCCTTAGTACCCTTGCAAACCCACATTCTTGTTGTGGTTAGCTGGCAGCAGGTGCAGACGGCTGAGGAGAGCGAGGACTCAGATGAGGGGCCAGGACCATTAGGGAGTGGACTGCTGCCTTCAGAGATTGCGGGGGCTGGCAGCAGTGATGAGGAGGCTCCAGAGGAGCCTGTGCCAAGTGCACGTGCACACAGGATTGCTCGTAGGAAAGAGCAGTTACAACAGCACGGGTGACTCGGGAGTAAGGCTGCAAGGTAATGGCCCCTCCCTCAAGAAGATAAAAGCCAGCTATGAAACAAACCTTCTTTGCAGAAGGCAAAGATGTTTTGAAACTACAGCCTCGTGGACAATCCAGTATCCTGAGTTTGTATGGCAAATTATTTCTTGTCTGTTATCTTTTGGCAAACCTCGCACAGTTTGGCAAGGCTTGTGCTTATCACATAATTATAAAGCATTACAAGGTTTTTGTTCCTTTTGAATTTGTGTCTGATTTGTCAGAAAAGGGCGTGAGTCAGAACAATTCCTCCTGAAGCATCCCCAACCAGCACAGCATCTCTCATACACCCCTGTGTCCCCCACGCATTCTTCTTGAGCCACGCTGTCCTCTGCATACTTATCTGACCCCCCCACAGTCCCTCTTACACCCCTGTGACCTCCACATCCTTTTTTATCCACACTCCACCCCCCCATGCATCCTACTTGAACCTCAGGCACCTTGGGCACCCTTTCCAACCAACATCACCCTTAGTACCCTTAGCACAACCTCCCTAACCCTCACAGCATCTCTGATGCACACCCACATATCCTTCTCAAACCACACGGTGCCTCTCACAAATTCCCATGTATCCTTCCTAACTTGCACCTACATGCACCTCTCTTCCCACTCCCAACAGCAACCACTTAGCTGCCTGCTGGCTTCCTCAGTGACTTTCTCCCTATAAGCTTTCCATAAACAAAGAAAATAGGAAGCCAATAGGAATTCCTCTGGTAATATTGAATTGCTAACCAGGGCATACAAAACCTTTGCTAGACCAATACTCGAATACAGCTCATCTGTCTGGAATCTGCACTGTATATCGGTCGTTAATACAATTGAGCGAGTCCAGAAGTATTTCACGAGAAGAGTACTACACTCCTCTGCTTGCAACAGAATACCCCATATCACCAGGCTTCAAATTTTGAACTTGGACAACCTTGAACTACGCCACCTATGGTTGGACTTAAGCATAGTACACAAAATTATCTGCTACAATGTCCTACCAGTAAAAGACTACTTTCTTTCCAACTGTGGCGGAAAGCTGAAAAATAAATGAGACCTCCCTCTCAAAGGCTATTCTTTTAAATGAAAAAATATATATCAGATCTTGATTATTTTTCTAGAAGTGATTATTGCCTCAATTACAAAAGGAAAGCATTTTGAAGATTTTTAGAAATATTCTTAGCTTTGATTCCTCAATAAAAGTTATAAAATAAGCTTTACTCTTACATGCAAACCACAAGTTCTGGATGTAACATCTTCATCTCCTATGGAGATATATCCAAATGCTTCTAAATCCAGTCTTGGGTATTACATACGCACTTATGTAAACGGTGCTCAAATGAAAGCAGGTTTTTCTGTGTTTCTCAAGTAACATAAAACTGATGACAGGAAGTATGTGGCAGCTGAACCGTAATTAAATTTTGCAACTTGACCCCCTCCAAATAAAGGTGTTTACTGGCGGTTTCTTTTCTCAGCTCCAGATTCTTCTTTATTTATTTTGTTTATTTCCTTATATTAATGATACAATCCAATGCTTCAAACCATAAAATCACCACACACAAAAAACAAACACACAAAACTATCCAATGAACTGTCACTAGTTATCAGTACCAGAAATACACACTTGTACTAAATGAAGAAAGAATTATATAACCTATTCTAAAACCCTTCTGCTATGCTACTACTATTTTTACTCACCAGTTCAAAAACAATCCATAATATCTTCATTTGTTGACTCAGAAACACTTAGAAGAAACTAAAATCATTGCCCTAATCTGAAGCATCTGTCTGAAAAAAACCTGCACCAACAAAATATACCTCCTCCCCTACAAAAATAGTCCCTGTAAACAAAATGAAAAGAAATTCAAAAATCTAGTAGCTTGACTTTGAAAGGGATGGTCCCCTGATAACAGAAATGGAAAACTGACTGATGCCTGACAATACAATCTTGGCTCCCTTTGCCTGCGGTACTCTCTGAGGCAGAGGTGCAGAGCTGTCAAGTAAGCATTCTCCTTGTAAGACCTGTTGGGGTGCTGAGGTTCAGGGTTTAGGATGGGAGAAGAGATTCCTTTAAGGGGGCAAACACATCCTCCAAACTAGGCAGAATTTCAGCCCTCTGAAAGCTAGTGTCCAGGCAGTTTCTCTCACATCACAGCAGAGCTAAAGTTAAATCTCCTCAGCTGTCGAAGAGACATAACAGTATAGGATTACACATGCTGACAGTTTATACAAAAGCAGCTACAAATCTCAAATGCCTCCAGCCCCTATGCCTCTGTCACAGAATAACAATTATTTTTTTAAGTTAGCATAATATTTTTTCATTGTCAGTAATGCAGAGTAGCAGTTAACTTTTGATTACTTATGCTGTCAACATCATTGGTCAGACAAAGAACAACAATATAGGATATTAATCTTTTAAATGCAGGGCGATTCTAAAATAAATTCCCTAAATTTCAGGGACTTATTCCCAGGTAAGTGTTCATAAGATTCTAACTTAAATGGTCCATGTATCATAAGAAAAAACTGTACATTTTTACAATTCCCTTCACTGAGATATATAGAATTGTATTGACCCACACTTCACACATCCCAAAATTAATTCCTATTCAACCACTTAAGTCATCAGCTTAAGGGTCTTATGGAGCGGTGACTCTCAGAATTCTAGCTATTTTGGTTATAGAAAGTCTGTGAGCTATACAATATAAATTAGGAAGAAAAAGGCTGGGGAAAGCCATTCTGTCTAAAAAGGTATAAGATACAGTAGATAAATTCACTCGGTAGGCACAGAACAATGATAGCAGAACTTTGGATTTCACATTGAACTGGACTGTGCACCTGTACTTTTTATTACAAAATATTCCTATTTGGAAATTATTTCGAAATATCACCTTTACAGCCCAATTCTTATCATCTCACTTAAAAACTAAACACTGAGAACTTAAGTTTCATGTCACTGTATATATTACAAAATGATTACACAATATTTTAAACTCTTTTCACATTTATAGTTCTGAAGAAAGGTAAAATAGAGAAGGAGGGTAACGTAAAATGTTCCAAATATTGTGAATTGTAATTCTCATGTTCCCTGACCATAGGGCCATGCCAACTGGGGCAGATTCCAATCGTATCTGGAAGGCTACAGCTTTGCCTTCCTTGAACTAAGGAGCAATTGAAGAGAGAGAGATTCTCAGAATATCATGTTCTTAGGCTGCTTCCCACACCCACAGATTATCTCAAAATGGATGCATAAGGGACATTGGAGCCTCCTGGTTTTTATACTGCAGAACAAAAACAACTATTGAAACCTAATCTCTCTTCTGCCAGCATCATCGATTCACACATTAAAAGCAAGAAAGGCGAAGGATAATGTGCTCCATTAATAAAGTCCTGCCTATCATTCTTGACACAGTGCTATCCAGCTCAAGATGGAATAGTAGTTTCTCTCTGGCTCATCCTGGGCACTCAAACTAAGCATTAGCGTACCGGGGCTGCAAACCACTAGATTTCTCAGTTAAGTGGCCTTTTTTTTTTCCTGGGCCTTTGATCTTGGGGAGCATGTTGGCACGTGAAGGTACCTGCTGCACCCACCGAAGACCTAATGCCTTTGCCACAAGGGGTGGAAGGGAAAAAAGGCAGGGGGAACTTTTCAGCCCAGCCTGGGAAAGGGCCTGTGGCTGGCCCACTGAAGACAATCGAATTGGCAACTGTTATGGATAGTAGGCTATAAGATCTCCGTCTCAAGAAAGGGGTTGGACTAGAAGACCTCCAAGGTGCCTTCTAACTCTTATTCCTTGTAGCATAACGCGGTGCCTCAGAGAAGCAGAGTTGTCCACTCTTGTGCTTCGTCCGTCCCCCCCCCCCCCCCCCCCCCCCCCCCCCCCCCCCCCGCGGCCCCGGCCCCCCCCCCCCCCTTTGCCGTATGCCAATGCCCTCCGACCGAACCCACGGCAGCCTTCCCCAGCTCGGTGCCATGCAGGTTATACTACAGGTCTCAAAGTTCTGCCGGCCTTAGTTAATGACCGCGATATTTGGGGACGATGGGAAATGTAGTCCAGTAATCTAGAAGCAGAAAGGAGAGAAATGTTATTTGATCCCCTCTTTCGCCTCCGCAGCCGCTACTCACACGACTATCCCATTCTTTTCCATCTTGCCCTCCACGCTGCGGTGCGTGTCTTTTTCCCGCCCCTGCTGCCTATCAAAAGGGGGGGGGGGGGGACAAAAAAAAAGTCTCCCCGAGACTTCCGGATTCTTGTCCCGGCTGCCCTCATTGGTGCTCTTGGGACCCGCCCAAGGCTTGCGTCAGAAGAGCGGGGCACCGCTACCGTAATGATTGCCGTAGTAGCTCCGACAAAAAAAAAGAGAAAAGTCAAAGAAGGCTCTATTTGCATGATGCTGAAATCATAAGCTTGAACTCGATTAACATTCAACTACAATATGTACCATATTAAGTTCCGATAAGGAACTGAGTTAACTTAATAAGCCACCACTTGTTCATCATGTTTTTGGGGGATGGAGTTAGGTGTGACAGTGTAATTTTCAAATATATATTTTTATTTATTTATTTGATTTGTCAATCGCTTACAAGATAATAGGTATAAGTATAAACATGAGTAAGAATGCAGGAAATAGGTATGAATAAATGGGGACAATAGAACAGGGACGGTAGGCACGATGGTGCACTTATGCATGCCCCTTACAGACCTCTTCGGAATGGGGTGAGGTCAATAGTGGTTAGTTTGAGATTAAAGGAGTAGGGGGTAGTTAGAGGATGTAACAACAGAGTCACATAGTGCATTCCAGGCATTGACCACTCTGTTGCTGAAGTCCTACTTTCTGCAATCAAGTTTGGAGCGGTTTACATTGAGTTTGTAAATGTTATGTTTACTCAGAATGGATCCTCTTGAAGTCGGTAAAGTTTTCTTCCAGATGAGCGTGTTTACATGTTCTTAAAGAAGGAAATGTATCAGTGTCTGTGATTTAATAATCAGATAGTTGCAACACTCATATGACAGATGGACTAATGCATCTAACTTGTTAAGAACAAGTTAAGAACAAATATTGCAGGAATAAAGGCATTTTTAGATATAACCTAGTCATAGCAACTAGAAACATACCTACGGTCTCTTATGTGGAAGAACTTGACTGAATTCTGCATCAGAACATTGGTCTAGAATTCAAAAACCCTGTGATTTAAGGCTTGGTAAAAAAAAATATGTGTAAAATTTAGGTACCAGATCTGAACTGTATAAATCTTGATTCTCTTTGCTGCCATTTTACAATTATCTGTATTTTTTCAACTCAGTCAGATCTGCTAGATTGAAAAAAGAGGTTGTATCAAGAACTGAATTTGCAACTTTGTATAACAATGTTGTATGAATCTGATTCTATAATAGGACTAGAAAAATATTTTATGAATATTTCATGACAACTAATCCTTAACTTACGAGTTCAGTCTATCTCTTGACCCAGGGTTAACTTTTAGACCAATCAATTCATTAAATTATAGTTTGTGAGCAGCAAACAAATAACAATATTGCAGCTCTTTACAAGTGGTTACCTGGATTTTTGCAGCTCTAGCATGGCAGCAAACGGTAAGGCTATGTGTGTAAAAGAAGAAATAGTATGCTATTAGGAAAAAAATGCTCGGTTCTCTCTTTTTGGCCATTTTTTTTTAAAGAGATCCCTCCATTTCCCTTTCAAAATTCTTCAAGTATTGAAATGATCTTAATCATATGTACATACTGCTGTTTTAGTTACGTAAAACTGAGCATTTGGAAGTGAAATGTACAATATACCATATTTTCAGTGCACTATGGTTTCTCCCACCAAAAAAAGGTTGAAACAAAGAAACTGATAAAACTGCCTTTGACAACACCCCATGTTTTTATCTTTAGGGTCCTGAATGAAGCTGTGGGTAAGCCCGTTTTTATCTGCAGAGTGCATAGTGTATCTGTAGATGAGTCACCCATGTTTTTTAATCAGTTTGAAGCAGAGGTGGCCTCTGACGGTTAATATAGGAAGACATCACACAGTTCAGAGTTCAGAACTTATAAAATCCCCAAATATCTAATTACCAAACATGTAATAATATACTTAGTAAACATGTACATAATTAGCAACGCGCTGCAGTCATATGCAACACAGAATAAAATTGATTTCTAATGTAAGCAAAGGGACCTGAGCCATCACCAGAATTAGCCAAGGTATTACACTGCCATAGGGAAAGTGTTAAATTTCCCTTTCACTGCTGCTACATCATGGT